GTTTTAATTGTTGCAATCAATGAAAAATACACCTTTCCTTAAAAGAAGAAAAAATACAAAGGAAAAGCTGATAAAAAAATTAATAAATTTAATCAGGCTTTTAAATCACCACATTAAGTCAATGATTTAGATCTGATTGATTTAAATCAGTCCAGCCTGCAGGCCAAACTTCAAGAGACTCAAAGAGGGATGGGATATCTCTTTGGACAGAAAGAGATGTTAAAGGGGGGTTGATTTAAAGATGACTCTGGCCTCTTCTGGAACATAGCTGTACCGGTTTACTTGCCCCAGTCATGGCTGTCCTGGCCTTAACTGTCTTAACAGCTGTAAATGTGGCCACCTGCCCCCACCTCGCTAAAAAGCCACTCCATGCCTTGCATATATTACCTTATGTGAGAGGTGGGCAAAATATGGCCCATGGACTGGATCCAGCCTGCAGCAGATCCCTCAGGTGCCACTGTCAGCTCTGCTGCCACCACCCGACCTGACCCCGCTGCCTGGACACCCTGGCCTGTCTACCCTGCATCCACTGCCAAGGCAGCCATATGGAGCAGGCAAGCAGATGGGGAGCGGCATCCAGGAGTGGGACAGGTGGGCAGGGGCCAGGGCTAGGATTACGGAGTGGTGACCGCATGGGGCCGGGGCCCAGGGCAGACTTGCAGGGATGCGTGGGGGGCAGATTGCAATGGGCACCAGTTCTGCAGGCAGGGATGTAAGGGGAGCATATCACAGCCCTGCCCCAGGACCTGGCTCTGCAGTGTCGCCACAACTTGATCCCAACCCCCACCCACCCATCCCGTTCCCAGACCCAGCTTTGCTCCTGCTTCTGGGTGCATCCCATCCACCTGCCCAAACGCAGCCTGCATGCAGGGGCCCTGGGGTAGTCTTCATGCAAACCCTGCCCGGCAGCCCCAGCAGTGGGTGTGGGGCAGACAGGATCGGGGCCAGACAGAATCAATTATCCACCCCCAGCCTGGGCTGGGTCAGCACTCTCTGCCAGCCTGCAACAGCTCACCAAAACTCCTTAAGTGGCTCTTCAACCCAAATAATTGCCTCTGGCCCTAGCCTGGTCTCAGTCGTCAAGTCCCTTACTTTCTGGGCTATTACCCTCAGCCGATGAACTGCTTGACTTTGGCCCACACAGTCTGCTGGGTCCCAGACCCAAGCAAGGCTGTGTCTTTGCTTCAGCCCCTTCTCTCCTTATGCACTGGGCCCCTGGCCCCATCTTGGCTCTAGCACACACATCTCACTAGGTCCCAGATCCTTGTTGGGCTCCATCTGGGCATCAGCCCCATCGCACAGGACCCACGCGCAGGACCCCTGGCCCCATCTCAACACTAGCCTATGCAGGACCCTGGCAGGGCTCTATTTGGGCTTTTGACCTTTATGACATGGAAAGCCCCACCAGGCACCCCACTCGTGGTCTCCACACCTATCAGGTGCACCCAAACCTCTGGTCTCCTGAGGCTTCAGGTCCCAGTCTCCCTTCAGCTTGCCTGGGCTAACTAGGTCCCCTGCCTTCTCAGCAACTCTCAGGAGTGCTTTCCTCTCCTCAGCTCAGGGCCAGACTGACCATCTGGCCCTGGACCTAGGCTTGAAGCATGCTGGCCTCCACCCCTTTCTGGGCACCTGACCTCGGACTGATCCAGGGGTTTCTGTTTAGCCCATTACTCCTCCTGCAGCCTGCCCAGCTGTCATCCATTTGCTGCTTAGCTTACCCGTTTGTCAAAGCACAGCCTTTGTAACATACTGAAGGGCATCTTGCTGCAGATAACTGCCTGAAGCTCTTCTCCGCATCTGCTCTGACTCTTCTTTCTCTGCAGCTGACCCTTCCTTAGCAGCCTATTCTGCACTGCAGCTCTCCAAGGCTGCCTGCCTAGTCTCTAAACAACAGGAATTAGGAGACCTTGCTACAACTAGTAAAAGGAAATAATTCCTGCTAGGGATTTATTTCTAAAAGTTAGGAGCTTAATTCAATTTCCTTTTATGTGCATGTTCAGATATATAAACTATATATCTCTATATACACACACACACACAATATAGAGAGAGGTTTTGGATTTTTTTTAATGGTTTGAGGGGTGGAAGGAGTTGGATCTCTTGGGTCCATTTCTGATCTTACTTAGACAAGTAAATAAGGAGCCACATGTCTTTTTAGTTCATCCAAATCCTTCCCAGTGTGAGTTTCCCAAAGCACATGCAGCACCATAGGTCTCAGACCAGACTTGATAAAAGTTTCCAAAGCTGGGCATGGACCAGGCTGCTGTGTCTGAGTCCCAGGACACTGAAGCCATGTGCTCTTCCACTTCTTATACAGTCTTTTTCTTTGGCCTGTCTAACACTAGTTTTGGGCACCATTACCCCAGGACACAAATGGGACCTCATGATCCCTCTGCCTCTGGCTAGCCCCCCCAGTCAGAGCTGATTCCCCCAATACTCCTCCAGTTTGGTTCCTTATGCATGTCATTTCCTACAGCAATACCCACATGAGCACTCTGGTCTACAGCTGACTACTCCAGGGACATGCCAGTTGAGGCACACAGACTCTGCCAAGGTCTACTTGAGAGAACAGGAGAGATAAGATACAAGTCTAGACAAGACGATCACACACCTACATAACACCCCTGACTCATTCTCCTTAGCACTTGAGCACTCTCTGGGATTTGAATAAAGTCCTCTTGGGTGTTGAAGTCCGCGTCTCCCTCATAGCTTCTCTTTCTGCACATCCTTTATTTATTTGATTCCTATGCTACCATCCCCAGAAAAGGCTCAGGGGTAATAAAAACAAGCCAAGTCATAAAAACAGATAAAACAGTTTCTCAAACAATACTGCCCGAGCCACATCTTACACTGCCTATGAAAAAAAGTCTAGGTTTGGGCTCTGGTGGGCTTTAAGGAGGAAGAAGTTCCAAAGCTGAGGAGCAAGTACCAGGAACAACCTCACATGTACTCTGGCCACGTGAACTTGGTGCACAGATGGTACAGGCAGGAGGATGCTCTCTGCTGACCTTAAGGATCACAATGCCTTCTGCTTCTGGTCTCCTTCTCTATAAGAAAACAGCCAATGGGAAAGTCTCTTCTTTATAACTGCCCAGTCCCCTTGATCAGATGACCCCTTCAGTCCAGGTGATGGATGTCCCCCATCAGCTACCCACCTATTTGGGCAGACTGCTTAGCCCTGTGATACCACCGCTCAGCATTTCATCATAGGGAGAGGTAAAAGGGAGCAGAAAAGGTGCTTTCTTTGCAAACTCCATTTTGCTTGTGGAGACCATCACATGTGGGGCGTTCACAGTCAAACTGGAATTCAAAACTTGCACACAATTCCCAACTCATCCCCAAATGCACATGGGAAAAGGAATCCTTGCAGTATGCATTACTTTGCATCTATTAACACAAACTTTGGTGCAAAACAGCCACAGGATCAGGCCCATCATTTGAAGGGGTTTTTATCCACTGCTTACATTCCCATTAAACAACAACTCAAGTTTCACTGAATTTTCAAGTCATCCTCGCTTTCAGTCCATTTTATCTTGCTAGTTCAATGGTTTGCAGAAATCTCCATGCGAGCTGCAACTCTCTCTTTCTAGCAGGTTATTTCCATGGACAGCGTTCCACACAGAGAACATCGACTTTTGAAAATTGATTTCATATATCATTTGAACTTGTGTTTGTATAAGTGAAGCTATAATCTTCAATTTTATAGCACAAGAGCTGCAGTATTATTCTCTGTGGTGTTCTTGGGCAAACATCCAAAGGAGAGGAACTTTCCAATATATCTTAGCCTCATGTTTTTGAAGAAAGCCGATCAATTCTAGAAGAACATTTAAAAGCCTACCAGGTATGTTTTCATCAGGGTATGAAAAAAAGCCAAACAACTAAGACACGCCATGGACACTAATGGATAGTTTAGCTGCTAATGTACAATGAAAATTAAATATATACCTATATCTACATCTTGTATTGGATAGCAAAGTAGTTGCCACTGAAAAAAAAAAGTATGCATTTTTTATCATCTCATCCTTTGAACAGTGGCATACGGCACTGCTTAAGGTAAACCAATTAGAAACATTTCTTATGAAAAAATATATTAACATTTATGAAATGTTATATGCAAAAAAGTCCATGTCAATATAAAATTAAATACACATGAGCCAGAAAAGTTAACCAGGATAATTACTGTGTAGAAGTGCCAGTTTCATACTCAAAAAAAGATTTGATCCTGTGCATCTTCATAGCTACATCTGTTAACTTGAATGGCAAAAAATACCTTTTTTTACTAGGGGTGTGATCTACTTTCTGTTCTGACTCACACAGCATCAGCAGCACTGTTAACTAAGCTCCAGTTGCAGAACATTTATTTCAGGCAATGATGCACGACCCAGCAGAGACCTCATTTGAGTTGCAGATCCCTGGCTGAATCTGCAGGACTGACAAAGCAAGCACAGCTTTTTTCTCTCTCTCAAAGCAAATTTAATTGGATCTGGAGTCTCAAATGATCAACAAGGATCACTACAATTAATTTTCTACAGGCATTTCTCCCAAATAACTGTAACAGATTTTGTCAAGGTGGATTTGTGCTCCTCTTGCAAGATGTCTTGAAGCAGCTTTCTACATTTTTTTAACCTTAAAACCACCAGGAATGTCACATCAGATCTTCCCTCATTGTTGGAGAACCTTAAATAGCTAGGTGAGGTTTGTAACAAGTATTTTTACTTCAGCTGGCTGCACAGGAAGAACTGGATTCAATTTCCTGGCTTTTGTGCCATTGTGGAACAATCCTGCATTGTGCTAAGCACTCAGTGACAACCTAAACCCCAATGACATCCTTAGCACTTGATACAACTGGGCCCTTATTAAGGGAACACCACTGATGCTTAAATGCAAGAGTCAAAATCATTTTCTTTTAAACCAAACTGAAAGGACACAATGGCCCCCAGGTCCTATGTTCCCATCTAAGAAATGGTACTTTCAGAGATTAAGACATGTATATTCATTACCTCAGACACGAAGAGAGTGCGTGGGTCAATGATATCCAAGAAATGCCGGAATCGTCCATAAAACGAAGTCTGGAGAACAGGGAGAGAAAGACATGGTTGGAAAAGGGTACTCCAGGGCATTATGGAAGGCTGTAAAGGGATGAGCGTGAGCGGGTCACCCAGCAAAGCATGCCTTGAATCTGGCATCCATGTCACTAACAGGAAGTCAAAATGTACGGGTTTTCTCCAAACCTAATGCAGATTTCTCCTCAGATTTATTTTTCTCTAACTTGTCCCCTAAAGAGCTTGAAACTAGAAGGCACCAATCTGCAAGGGACTGCATGCGAATGGACTTGCAGGATCGGGACTTAAAAAGACTAGCGTTATGCTGACATACTAGAACCAGGAAACAAGACAGAGGGCGCGTCTACAAGAGACGCGCAATGCCCATTGGATTAATTCTACTGCACATTAGCGTGGCTGGCAAAAACCATGCTAATGCGCAGTAGATTAGTCCAATGGGCATTAAGCATCACACAAAAAAGCATTCATCTGTGCTAATGAGCAGTGGTGATGATTATGGCGCATTTAGTACCTGCTATTACAGGTACTAAACTTAATGCGCTATAAGTACGGAGCATTAATGAATGCGTAGATGCGCCCAGTCTTGACCACACCGAGCAAAGTGCACGCTACAGGTGAAGTTAATTAAAGTTCTCTCATTTTTAGCTCTCAGGTGACCGTGATAAAAAAAAAGTTACTGCCAAATCCTTAGCAGCTTAACACTAGACTCCTGTCTGGCCCAGCAAGCACCAGGAACAAAGCAGCAGGCATGCCGAAAGCCATTAGAGAGCAGTGTCTCCATGCTTTTCTATTCCAGCAAAGAAAGAGATCAGCCTTTCCACTTCAGGCATGCACTCCAGTTTTGGAGGGCTGACTTTTGGGGAAACGGTGCATGTGGTAGGCAAGTAAATACAGAAAGTACTAAAAAGGTTTTACAGGGCTGCAGGTTTCACTAATGCTGGTCAGGGTGCACAAAACTACTTAACCAAGTACCATTTTGGCACATTGCTAGAAATCAAAAGTCGTAACGGTGCATGCAGCACCATTCTCTTTGGAGACTACAAGTCTTGAAAATGCAGCGCTTGGTTGGGACATAGTTATCCAGCCATTTTCTACATGGAAACCTGTAGCTTCTAGGGCACATCTCCATACCAAACACTAAGATCTGAACACATTAATAAAAGCAAAATGTTTCCTAATTGATGTGAAGGGTGGGGAAGAGAACAGTACATGTGTTGGAAGGAAGATGCCCCTGTATTTTTGTGTGTATTACAGGACTGCCAAGAGACCAACAAAAACAGGGTCCCACTGTGCTAGCCAACATGAGCAGTAGGAAGAACAGGAATTAAGCAGTCTTAATGTGTGTGAAAAAGGTGGGTGGAATTGGATGGTTTGTTCATATTAGTCCTTAGGCTCTTGAATGGGACATCCAATAAAAATGCATGCTGGCCACCTACTCAAAGCCCAAACATGGCACAAGCAGGACAAGACACCGTCTCACAGGGACTATGACATGAACACCTGCAGAGATGAAAATCCTAAGATTAGAAAAGCTTCTCACAACATCAGTGCGATAATTATGATAAGTTCTCCTGCTGTCAAATGAACAAGCTGCCCTTAAAATCATGTTCAGCATTTTTTTTTTTGCTCTTTAATGTCCGGATTCAATAACTCCTACACTGCAGTGGCTAGCAGAGCCCCCAGCAAACATCTCACGATGCAAAACCATAGCGTGAGATTCAATGTAGTTATTCATATATACTCTCTCAAAATACTTGTGTGAGCCAATGGCTGGTTTTAAAAGCAAGGAAGACTTAAACTGAGCAGTAGGTCTCCTCAGTAAGCAGTAGGCTTGGAATCGTTAGCAGGAAATGTTTCCATTAGTGAACTCAGATACCCCAGAAGGGATCAGGGCCCCATGAGGGATGCTAGACATACAGGCTGACAAATCTCTGGAGAGCGTGTAATACAAAGACAAACAGAAAAGCAAAGGTAGGGAATGAAGACAAAAAAAAACATTCCCAGAAAGAAATACGGTGAAAAGCTGGCGTGATTTTGTTATGCATATTGTCGCACCCTTTCTCCCAACTCCCAAATTAGGTGGACACCTACTGACTCTGCTCTCCTATACAGAGGACACCAGTCCCAAACACAGGGTTTAATTGAGTCGGACGGACTTTGAACGCCGGTTCCCGGTCAGCTGCACTCTGGGAAGTGCTTGAACACCAGGGCATGGCGCGTGCCGAACGATTCAGCAGCAGTCCCGACATCAGTGCTTTAAAGGACCTAGTCGAATCCAGGGCAAAGTGCACCTCCAGCACAGACAGGCTGCCTATTTGTTCAGCTCAAAGTGCAGACAACTGCAAAAAGCCAGAGGGCTAAAGCTTTTACAGGGGAACTCACCAACAACCATTCCCTTTCCCCCTTGCACCGGGGGAATCCAAGAGTGGAAAAAGCAGCATTTGCTCTAGCCCTGTGGTTCTCAACGGGGTGCCACGAGCCCCATCCAGGGGTGCCACAGCGCGAGTCCTGTATTGGCCAGGCTGAAATGTCATGCATGCAGCCTGCACTCTTCCTACAGCCTCTCTTGGCCCAACCCCAAATGGAAACAGGTGCATTGAGCAAGGGGGGCTGTCCCGTACCCCTCTGTTCCCAGCAGGAGTGCGTGGCATCAAGACCAGGAAAGGCTGTGCTCTGGCCTTCTTGCCGTCCACCCGGACGGGTCAGATGGGACCCTGCAGCAGCCCTTTACAGTGCCTGGACACTCAGAGCAGCCTAGCTGAGAAGCACGGAGATAGATGGAAGAAGCACAACAGTGGCACTGGACCATGGGTACTGCCAAATTCAAAGGAGTTGTGGAGGGGTGCCCTGACTCCGAACCGGTTGAGAACCACTGCTCTAATTCTTCCTGAGCTTGGTTTTCATCTGCTAAAGTCAGGGCTGTTGTCACTGCCTATAGTTAAGGTCACCCAACAGTTTCCATTATAGGACACTGTTTTCAATTGCCTATAAAACTTTGCCAAATTTTAGCCACTTGGGCTGAAGCATCCCACACCAAGTGTTCACTTCAGGCAGAATTTTCTTTTTTGTTTCAGCCCGTAAGGTTCAGGGTTTTACAGAAGGAAAACAGGGAAAAAACCAGGTAATTAACCCCTGCTACGAAAATGCAGATAGCTGTTTCAATGAGCAACAGTCTAATCCCTCCATACTTTTCACGAAGGACTGGAAATTCAATGGATTATCGCAATCTATACATACTCAAGGGAGGCAAAGTAAGGCTCCAAAGGCAACATTAAATTGGCACTTCCTTTGAGACCTTTCATTTTGCAAGGCTGATTTAAACGAAAACAAAAACCTCACCATACACAATTTAAAAAATAATCCAACTATTTATTTATTTATTTATTTAGAAAAGTTAAGATCTTTAATTTTAATTTTTTTTTGTTTTAGGACAAGATTTTTTTTTAAAAGAATCTGAATTTAAGAAATTATGCTCAGGCCTATTTTTATTATAAACTTCTTAAACGTTTACATGTATTTTGCTAAATATGAGATTCAGAAATTCAGCCTGAATAAAAACGAGGGTGAGGATGAGATCAACTAGTTGTAAAAGTATGAAGAATGGCTTAGGTAACCTAGGAGATGGGAACTTTTTTGAGGTCTTTAAATAAGTGGGAATTTAAGATCCCATCCCTTTCACGTTGGCATACTTGAAAGTTTTCCCAGGCCAACCTGAAATAATCCATTTAATTCACTGACTACAATTAACCCCACTATTCTATAAGTTGTTTAATTGTAAATAAGAAATACATTTTGACCAGAGATGTTTTAAATGCAGTAAATATTTAAGTTTGTTTTGTTTAATAAAATATAGTTTTATATGCGGCTGCTGTGTGTATAAATCCCACTTACCATGCTAACACTTTCTGCAAACTATGAGCAAAAACATGATCTGGCACATAACCAATATCATACTAGAAGTATAAACTTAGTAAGAGTCTGAAAACATGCCACCTTAGGACTCCTTAAGCAAGTTACATGGTCATAGCACCCTCTCCAAGGTCACAAAAACATGAACCAAATCTAGCAGAAGAGCACTGTTTAGGTATAAATCTATGCATTTTGAAGGGTTATATCAAATCAGTGGGAACATAAATCTTTCCTTAAAAAGAAAACCAGGAAAGTACCACCAGGAAAGTTGACTGAAACTGATAATTAAAAAATAAAAAAAATCAAAGCTTTCTATTAGGTGATTAAAACAAAAAAGAAAAGACAAAACAACCCTCCCTCCACAACTTAATTTGATTGTAGTGTATTTTTAACATGTTGTTCTTGTACTGCACTCATCACCGCAGAACCTGAACACTTCCCAGCTGTTCATTAATGAACTGCATGTAACAGAAATTAGTCATGTCACTTTTTTCCTCTCATTTGCACGTACCATTTTGCTGTCGGGTTTCTCCCACTGCTCTTCCTTCTGGGTTGGTTAAGCAAAGCTTTAAAAAGCAGGAAAGCCATTCAGACAAAATGTAAATGTGCATGATTTAAACAAGATAATGGTGGGGGGATTTTTTAGAAGTACCAGGCCATGATCTCTCCAGAGCCTGAGTCATCTTATGCCTATGCAAATGCTAGAGGACTGAACGGCAGTACTGTATGTCCACGTTGTGAAGGTATAAATGATAAGGTGCAAGGCAAGGGATAATTCAGCCCTCCTCTGCATGTTAAACGTGGATATCAAACAATACATGCTGTTATTCCAATAACTGTAAATGCCACAAAGAAATTACAAGGAGTTCAAATTTTGTTTCTAGAGGGAGCATAGAGTCCTCTCCAGCCGATTTGTTCCCTTCACTCTGAAACTAGCCCACCCAAGTTACCCCTTCTGCTACCCCTTTCCATGTTACCCCTATGCTAGTGGTTCTCAACCTTTTTATATTTGGGGCACCCCTCCCCAGCTTTGAATGTGGCAGCATCCCCACTTGAGAACCACTGTTGTGCCATTTTAGCTTATCTAAATGGTTCTC